GTCAAGTGATCGATACTATGTGACATTTAAAGATGACCATACCCGTTGTACTTGGGTCTACATTTTGCATAGGAAGTCCGATGTAATCCTTATAATCACTCAATTTTTCCAGATGATTATGACACAATTCGATGTCATTGTTCATGCTCTTCGTTCAGATAATGCCAAAGAATATGTGTCTGATATCTTAATGTCTCACCTTTCTTCTCAGGGTATTCTTTAGCAACTCTCTTGTCCATATACTCCCAAGCAAAATAGCATTTCTAAAAGGATAAATAGGAGTCTAATAGGGATGGTACGTTGTATGCTTAGAGGAATGGGGTACCAAAATTTTATTGATATTTTACTGTTTTAACTTCTACCTTTTTGTGCAATCGTACACCGAGTCGTGTTCTTCAACATAGGGTTCCCTTACAGGTCTTATTCCCTGAGCGAACACTTTTTTCAGTCCCCCCCTGTGTTATTGGATGCACATGTTTTGTTCAGAATCGGTCTCCTACTCGCCATAAGCTTGATGATAAAGTAATTCGTTGTGTCTTTATGGGCTATTGTCATCAGTCTAAGGGGTATCGGTGTTATGATCCTATTAGGCATCGTATGTATTACCTTTCTTGTGCATATTCCTTATTTTTCTTCCAGTCCTGTGTCTGCCCTCCAGTTGATGATACTCTCTTTGATTTTCTATTACCACAAGAGCCAGAGTCATTGATCAATATCACTATAGAGTTATCCATCTCTGTAAACCCCCACACTTTTATCTTTATATAACAAGTAAATATATGAAATTTTTTGCAATCGAACTTGTACCAACTATGTTTGATATCCAAATGTATGTTGTATAAGTTTGAGTTGATTTTGGAAGGGTTTGTAATGGATTAGAAATGAAAACAAAGGAAACAGGCAAAACTGCAGTACCAGTATGCCCAGAAGTTACCGTACCGGTACGCTACTGTCCCGAGAGTCTACTGTACCAGTACTGCGTATCGGTACGGTTTGTAAGTTTCAGATATTTTAAGTCGCGATCTAGGGTCCATTTTTCACCCTATAAATACATAATGACGCCTCCATTAGCCCCATTTCAACATTTTCAACCCTAAAAAACCTTTGAGAGGAAGAAAGAAAGAGAAAAACACAAGATCAAAAAGGATTTGCGCCTTGGATTGAATCAAAACCCTAGATTTCTTCAAGAACACCAAGGTAGGGGTTTCCTTCCATTCTTGACCATTGAGGCTAGGGCTTATATGTATACATGTTTTGACTCTAAAGCTTATATATATGCATTGAAAATCTTGATTCTTGATATTCTTTCAAAAATTACCATGTTTTAAACAAGGTTAGGGTTAGATAATCATGAAATCTCTTTTCTTGGTATAAAACCCTGATTTTCAAAAGAAATGGATTTTCCTCTTGATTCTTCCTTTGTTCTTGATTTAAAAACTCTAGTGTTTTATATTGAACAATAGAAAGGTATTGTTGAGGATCTCTTGCTTATTTTCTTCAATTGTTTTATTGTAATACTACATGAAAATTAGGGGATTTTGGATTGGCTTGTGATTTGAAGAAATTGGTTGGTTATGGTATCTCTTGTCGGTGTTTGGATGACCATGGGTAGCCGTTGATCGAGTATTGTAGAGTAGGTAGATGCGTTTCTTACTCCGTGCGGGTTTGAATGTTTTCTACCACTTGTAGTGGGGTTAGTGCCTTGTGAGGACCAAACCACTATTCACTCACGGGTACCAAGGAGAAGGCGTAATATATTATTCCTAGGTTGAATTCGTCACTGCCATGAGTTGGTATACGTCATTCCTAAAGGTTGGATATCCTTGCCAGGATTTGGGTGTGTGTGTGTGGGCCAGAATATTTTCAATATGTTTATTCATGTGAATCATGCATCATACCTGAGATACGAATACAAGTTGTGGGTTTATGATTTATTGTACCAAAAACGGTTTTCTACAAGAGCTTGTGAAAAATGGTTTATGGTTGAAAATGATTTGTTATTTGTAATTTGACGTTATTACTTCATTTAATTTATTGTTATTGTATAAACTTGAGATCTATTGAAATGTTCCTGTTTTCTTTCAAAAATTAATATATGATATTTACAAAATGAGACCGACTTATTTTACATATTTTTCTAAACCTTATTCGAGTTTGGGAGAATGTTGCTAAAGAGCTCAGTGATTATCCCCTACAAACAATATATTTTTCAGATTATGGCTTAGAGGAAGAACTCGGAGTAGATGAGCAGGTATCTTGGGAAGCTCAAGTGGATGGGCATATGGATCCGGAGGGGGATATTTAGGGGTGTTATTTCTATGTCCTAGACTAGGGAATTCCTTTTGAGATAATGTTCATGCTAATATTTTGTTATTCCACTGCAAGATTAAGTTTCACTCTTTTGAATGTAATTGTCATAGTTTGTCATATTCTTTTGGATATAGTGGCCATGGTTTGACATATTCTTTTGGGATGATGTTGTAGATATTATGTATGATGAATGAAATTTCCTTTATTGATGAATTTTATTAGTGGCTCTCATGATGTGAATGGTTTTAAAAAAAAAGTAATGTCGTCCAAGGGAAATTTTGGGGCGTTACAATCTCTCCTCCTTCAGAGCCATTCATCCCTGTTAATACAAAGTCACCAGTCTTTCTTCCTTTGCAGGTTTATGTTCGTCGCCCTCGCTCTCATCCCCCTGCTGATGTCCCCTCTACCTCAGACGATGCGAGTAATACTTCTCAGTTTGTTGACCATATTGATGCACCTGTTATTAGTACTGATGAGATTGCAGGTATTGAGCCAGTTACTTTACCTGATGAGACATTGTTAGTGGAGGATGATGATTTAGGGTGTCGTTATCTGCAACGTAATCGTCGTCCAGTTGTTCGTTATGATTGGACCATCAGGATATTATATCCTATCTCTGCTTATGTTTTTTATGGTGATATGTCTCCTACATTTCGAGCTTATAGTATGGTCTTATCAGATACGACGATTCCTCGCTCGATTCTAGTGCCATGGAAACGAAGATGGACGCTCTTCAACGTAATCATACATTGGATCTTGTCTCTTTACCTTCAGGGGTGAAGCCTATTAGCTATCGCTGGGTTTACACCCTGAAATTTCTTGTGGATGGTACTATTGATCGACATAAGGCTAGGCTTGTGGCAAAAGACTTTACTCAGATACCAGGTCGTGATTTAGGTCCTACCTTTGCCCCCGTGGCAAAATTGACTATTATCCGATTGATTATTTCTTTGACTGCGGAGTATTCTTGGACTCTTCATCAGTTGGATGTGAAGAATGCATTTCTTCACAGTGATCTGAACGAGATTATTTATATGTATGCACAACCAGGCTTTCGTGATGAGGGAGAGTATGCTGGAAAGGTATGTCGACTGCGGACTAAAACAGTCACCTCGAGCCTGATTCTCTCGTTTTAGTGATGTAGTTGTACGTTTAGGGTTCACCAGATGTCATTCTGATCATATTTGTTTCATTCGACGGAATACTTCTAGACAATGTGTCATCCTTTTGGTATATGTTGATGATATTATTATTATTGGAGATGATGTTTCTAGGAGCGCAGTTCAAGATAGACCTTGGGAAGGCCTTTGATGTGAAGGACCTTGGATTTTTGCGATACTTTCTTGGGATTGAGGTTGCCCATAGTAGCAGGGGTATTGTTCTTTCTCAGAGAAAGTATGTTCTAGATCTTCTCTCAGACACTGGAATGCTGGGGTGTAAACCGAAATCATCACCCCGTGATTTCAAAACTGAAGTTTACTGTTGAAGATGAGGAGTTAAGAGATCCGACTGTCTATTAGAGGTTGGCAGGTATACTTATCTAGCTAACTAACATTAGGCCAGACATTTCATTCGCTGTCAACCGAGTAGTCAGTTCATGCACATACCATGTCAGCCTCATCTTGATGCAATTTATCATAATTTTCGGTACCGCAAGTCTTGTCCTGGACTTGGGTTGTTCTATGCATCAGGATCTCAGACTGATTCTCTAGCTTGTTATTCAGATTCAGATTATGGGGGAGCCTATGAAGATCAATCTATTACAAGTTTCTGTGCTTTTCGAGAGACTCATCTTATCTTTTGGAAAAGCAAGAAGCAGTTAGTTATCTCTCGCTCGTCAGCAGAGACAGATTATCGGGCATTAGCATTTAGCACATGTGAGATTATCTGGCTACGATCTATTCCTGGCAAGTTGAGATTTTCAGTGACTTCTTCATTTACATTATATTGTAATAATCAATTTGTAATTCAGCTCGTTTCTAACTTTGTATTACACGAGAGAATGAAGCATATAGAGATTGATGTTCCTTTAGGAGAAGTTTAGCAATTGTATGGTCACTCCATCATTAATGGGGACCAGTGATCAGGTTGCGGATATTTTCACCAAACCTGTCACTCTATTCATTTTTCGGGACTCCGTTGTCAAGCTTGGCTTAGTTGACTTTTTTGCGCCTAGTTTGAGGGAGAATGTTGGAGTTATAGCAGTCTAGTTTATAAAAGTTTATTAAAATTTTTCTTTTTTTACTTTTTTATATTCTTATTTTAACTTTCATTAATTATATATACGGGGTTCTACACTTAGTTTATATTTTTTTTTACTCACCAATACATCAAGTGTCTAAAAATGGTCAGTGTCAGTTAAATATTTGTTAACACATCAGCATTCACAATTATTTGTCCGGCAGTTTTACTACCGCACTGGTTAATGCTAATTGTGGCAAAGGAAACAAAAAAGAAATTCAGGATGGTTGTCTCAGGCTTGAACAGATTTAATGGAGATAGAAAATTGTTTCTCTCTCGTGGATTTGCTTGCTATCTAAGCCTTATCTCTATATTTATTCATTGGAGAACAGCAAGTTTTCCCTATTCTATCTTTGCAGTGGCAAACTAGAAAGCAATTCAAGACTCTAAATATGATTTTCATTTATAAATTTATTATAATTTGGAATTGCATTTCACAATTAATATTACTTCGATCTTATTTGTTAGTTCATGAGCCTCGCATATCCTCTAAAAGTTCGTTGTGCACTTTACATTTGATTGAGCATGGAGTTCCGCGTAAAAAGCATTTGTTTCCATATTTTGCAACGTGTGTTTCCAACACAAATGGAATTGTTATCCCGACCTGATATGCTTTCAACTCCTGCTATTCCTTAAACTACCAGAAATCGTTGCATGAACAAGTTCCGTGCTTAAAATGATGATAACGCACACGATCCCTCACAACAATCTCCCGATTGAATACTCGCGAAATGAGCTTGGTGGCAGAGTGGCAGTCCTCACACACCCTCAAGTTCTTGACAATGTGAATGGCCGTTCCTGATGGTGTGTTAAGAAGACCAAATGCAATTGCAAGCTTTTCACTGTGGTACCAAAGTGCAGTTTCCTTCTCCTCCATATCAATATCGAATAAGACCTGTGAGCTATTAGGCCGATAACCTTCCAGCCGAAGCCTTTCAATGATCTTCTCCAACATCAAGTAAATTTCCTTTATTTGTGGATGTGAACTGTCACCAACTTTGAATTCGTGAACGATTCCACCCAAATTAATCATACTGCTTCCAGCAACTGTCTTTACCCCTTTCTCCTTCATTAGTTTTCTCAGCTTTGCAACATCATCCCATCTGCCTGCCTTCGCATAGATGTTTGATAGTAAGGCATAGCGCCCGCTATTTTGTGGTTCCAACTTGAGCAAGATCTTCCCCACCTTTTCACCCAACTCTACGTTTCCATGTATCCTGCAGGCACCTAAAAGTGCGCCCCAAACAGCTGCATTTGGTTTCATTGGCATAGAATTTATTAGTTCCTCTGCTTCATTTAACAGCCCTGCTCTTCCCAAGAGATCAACCACACAACCATAATGCTCCATTGTAGGCTCAATTCCATACACTTGCTTCATGGTATTCAAATATTTTAGTCCTTCATTGACCATTCCTGCATGCGCACAGGCATTAAGAACACCCACAAGGCTGATATCATTTGGTTTCACTTTCTCTCTCTGCATCTTCAAGAAAAGTTCAATTGCATCCTCTGCCCTGCCATGGATAGCAAGTCCACCAATCATCGCATTCCAAGAGGACACTTCTGTTTCTTTCATCTTCTCAAAAATCTCCCAGGCGAAGTCGATTCTCCCACATTTCGCATACATATTCACCAGAGAATTCCCTAATACTGCATCAAGTTGAATCGAATTCCTCCTTAAATATTCATGAATCCATCTACCTTGGTCAAGAGCCCCAGTATTTGCACATGCAGCTAGCACACTAGAAAGAACAAATTTTTTTGGCCTAACTTTTTCTCTTTGCATTTCATGGAAAGTTTCCAATGCCTCCTTAAAAGACCCTTCTTTGTTATATCCATCAATCATGGCGCTCCAAGATATATCATCCTTCTCTGGCATTTGATTGAAATATTCCCTTGCTGTCTCGATCATCCCACACCTAACAAAACCACTGATCATTGCATTCCAAGAGCCAACATTCTTGCTTGTCATACTCTCAAATACCCTTTTTGCATCTCCAACATCTCCACTTTTCAAGTAACTATCAATCATGGTGTTCCAACACACAACATCGGATTCCCCATCTGAATTAAGCAAGTTTCGTGCCTCGGTTAGGCGTCCAAAAGATGCGTACATCTGAATTCCAGCACTTCTCACATGCCCATCACCATTATGTCCATGTTTCACCACATGAGCATGCACTTCCATCCCTTCTTCAACAGCTTGTTCCAGGGTGCAGGCCTTGAACAATGGAGTGTATGTGTACTTGTTAGTCTTAGAGTCTGCAAGAACCATCTTATGGTAATAAGAGATGGCCTTATATGGTTCATTGTTATCTAAGCAAGCTTTAATCAAACAGTTCCATACAAAAACATTTGGTTTTGAAATTTGATCCAAAACTTTTATAGAACAGTCTAAGCTTCCAAAATGAGGATTTGCATAGCACTTCACAAGTGTCCCAGCAACATAATGGTCTTGAAAGTGTCCAGTCTTTAGTGCCAAAGCATGGGCTTGCTTGAGATGTTGCAGAGTAGTGGTGCATTGGGTGGTCAAGAGATTTAAGATTGATTTCTGGGAGAGATTGGATGAGGGTAAGCTCTCTATTGATTGGTTTTTTTGTTTGGGAAGATAAGGTGGTTTTGTGGTGGTGGATGTGCTCATTTTTTCTCTGCCATTCAGGATTGGGTAAGACCCAAGATGTCATGATATACCAGCTCACACTTCGACTGGGTCCAATATCTTAAAGAGAGATTTTTAGGTTTATCAGCTAAGTTGGGTATCCAAACTTTTGCGGGCATTATTTAATCTGGGTCCAACAAAAGATAACTTTTCAACATGGTAACTTTATATTTTATTATTTTTCAGGTAATCATTCAAACTAAAATTAATGATTGTAAATGACTTTTGGCATGATATCTACTCTACTTGGTACCGATGTCTATTTACTATCATAATCTTTTTCTTTAATCTGATCCGGTTTAAAAGTTATCTAACTCACCGGCATTAGCAAATTATTGATAAAAAAAAATATATTATGCTTCTTCATCGATACTTCGTTTAGGTCTCTCCTACCCCCATTTGGATGTTTTCTATTATGCTCATAGTTTGTGCACTTGGTCCTAATATTTAAATACCGTTGCGTATGAAAAATAATTTGGGTGCCTTTTGATTTTACTATAGCTTAGATTTCAATCGTAATAAACTAATAGTCCGAATCTAAAGATGCTTAGAAAAAGAGAGACTTAAAAAAGAAAAAACAAATTATGGATGTTATTATTAGGGATATGACAATTGTATCCAAGAGATATATTATTATCAACAAAATTAGGATAAATATAGATGATATTAGGCTAAAGTGATATGATTATCATTGTATATATTTCATTCCCCATTAAAAAAAAAAAAAAGAATGAGTTTTATGTGTAATAAACATCGATTTGACCTTTTGGGTATGCGGTGGAGGTAGGCAATTTGTGCCCAACCTCGTCATATATTGTGCTCCACCTTTCTCTGCCCTTTCTTATTTTCTAATTCTCTTGTACTGTGTATTTTCTCACTTACATATCTACCACGCTCTTGTTTGTATTCATTTCAACTGTAAGTTTAAAAGAGTAGGTAAATGGCCAGGAGCGATCTTGCAACACTGTAGCCACAAAAATATGAAAATTGGTGAGACCTAAAGTGGGAGACAAGTCTACACTATCCACAAAAAAAGAATATGAGTACTATACCCAAAAATGAATCATAGCTATAGATTTTGTTTTGGTAAATTTGTGAACTCATGATTGATGGAAAATAAAAGATATGATATAAAAAAATTATTTTTTGATATTCTTGAAGTGGGTAATCAAATATCTATACTGCTACTAAAAATATCTTACAAATAAATTTTTTTAATTTTTCTCTTCTATCTTTAAACAATTATGTAAAAATAATCAATCGTATTCTATTTTTTAATTTAACTCTTTAACCATTCATATTCTAAAAATAAATATTTAATTACAAGTGTAATGAATAAATTTATATATAAATCATAAATCTATATCTATATTACTATTTTAAAATACCAACATATATAAAAAAATATTTTTTTCACCTTTATCCTCTAACAACACAATTATATCACTCATATCTATATAATAAAATAGAATGAATTTGAATTTTGGAGACAAAAAGTGATTTAGATCGTTTTGTGACAAAAAAAAGTATCATCTAACCGATAACGTTATCCCAAACTATCTCGAGCTATTGACGTCTTAAATCATTTTAATCCGACGTACCACATTAACTCTTTTGAAATATTTTTGCTGCTCAAAACTTATAGTTTCCAAAATTGATAATCAAAAATTTAATTCCCCTAAATCTTTTCCTTAAATCAAGTAAATCTCTCTCTCTCACGCTCAATTCACGTAAAAAATATCAATTTTTTACAATATTTTCTTTTGTATCTCACAAAAATATTATGAAAATATTAGATAGTATCTGATTTAAGCAAATACTGTATCTCTGTATAGATAGATACTATATATCACAGAGAGATAATATATTCTTCTATATCTCTCTCTGAAGGAAAATTATATAATAAATATTAAATAGATAGTATGTATCACGAAAATATTTCTCTATATCTTTCTCTTTCATTCAAGCAATACTACAAACACGAATCATACAAATTTAATAATCAATTTTTTTTTTCCATAATCAATTAAAAAAAACATAACTTGCAAAAAATCTAATTTAAAAAAAAAATATGTTTAACATGTGAAACATACAAGATTAAATTCAATGTATTGGATAACTCAGATATCAAGAAATATGTTAAAGAAAATATGCTTAACATTTAAAATATATAAGATTAAATTCATATATAAACACGAATAATACAAATTCAATATTTAATAAACAACACAAAGCAACAATATTTACTAAATAATTCAAATCTAAATACCCAAGAAAAATGATACAAAATTACGAACGAAAGAAACGATATAAAATTATAATCAATACTATAAACACGAATCATACAAATTCATTATTTAGTGAACAACACAAAATAACAATCTTTACTAAATAATCAAATATTAAATAACATTTAGTTTAAGAAATATACTAAAAATATAAATAATTCAAAAAATAATATAAAATTAAAAGTATTACTATAAACTCGAATCATACAAATTCAATAGCAATGATCAATTTTATTTTTTTCATAATCAATAAAAAAAATATAACTTACAAAAAATCTAATTTAACAAATAAAATATGCTTAACATGTAAAATATATAAGATTAAATTTAAGTTATTGGTCAACTCAGATATTAAAGAAAATATGCTTAACATTTAAAATATACAAGATTAAATTCATATACAAATACGAATCATACAAATTCAATATTTAGTGAACAATACAAAATAACAATATTTACTAAATAATTTAAATCTCAATACCCGAGAAAAATGATACAAAATTAAAAACAAGAGAAATGATACAAAATTATAAGCAATATTATGAACACGAATCATACAAATTCAATATTTAGTGAACATCACGAAGTAACAATCTTTACTAAGTAATCTAATACTAAATAACATTTAATTTAAGAAAATATACTAAAAATATAAATAACCGAGAAGAATGATATAAAATTAAAAACACTATTATAAATTCGAATCATACAAATTCAATAGTCAGGTTGTATCTTTTGGAAGTCGATTGAATTTTTAATAATTATATTTAATCATTTGACAACATCTGCAGACTTAGTTATATGAATAGGCAGCGGAGATGTTGTCTGAACATAAGTTGGTTGCTATATAGTTCCCAACAAATCACCCTACATTGCTGAATTATAGTATTTTCTAAGGTTTGGAGATTTTCTCTCTATGAATGCATGATTAATTTACCCTACATTGATAAAGGCTCGATATTATTAATTTATTATCAAACTATTTCATATTTCGCCAGACTTTGGTTTTGCTTACCATTAGACGGAATATGGATCGTCTCCTTTTTTTTTAGTTATGTGCATAATATATGGTTGCGAGTTCTGAACTAGGGACTTTTTTTTGTTCAGAGAACTAGAGACTTAAAAACCATGTTTTTCCTATTAATTATTCCCCATTTATTCTATTGCATATTAAAACTCCTATCCAGTCAAAAGCTACATTTTTGTTTTCCAGCTACCGCTTCGAAGGTTTTTGAGGTCCATGAATTCAAAAATTATTGCGATGTTGTTATGATTATGTTGGTACAAATTCATGCACAACTCAAAGATTTTGGTTGACCTGGCGTGTGCCAAAGTGACCACCCAGTAGCTTTTACCTCTCAGTGCCCGTGCGGAGCTCCGTCCCACATCGACTGAGAGTCGTCTCCCCCACCCCACTTATAAGCCTGAGCCCCTTAGGGATGGGTACCCACTAGACACCTGATCACCCATCTCTAAGGGGCTCAGGCTTATAAGGGGGTGGGAGAGACGACTCTCAGTCGATGTGGGACGGAGCTCCGCACGAGCATTGAGAGGTAAAGGCTACTGGGTGGTCGTTTTGGCACACGTCAAGTCAGCTGAAATCCTTGAGTTGTGCAAGAATTTGTACCAACAAAAAGGTGTTTTTTGGTGGACAGGTTGAGCCCCTTAGGGATGGGTACCCACTAGGCACCTGATCAGGTCGCTAGTGAGTACCCATCCCTAAGGCACTCAGGCTTATAAGGGGGTGGGGGAGATGACTCTCAGTCGATGTGGGACGGAACTCCGCACGGGCGCTGAGAGGTAAAGACTACTACTGAGTGGTCGCTTTGACACACGCCAGGTCAGCTGAAATCTTTGAGTTGTGCAAGAATTTGTACCAACAAAAAGACGTCTTTTGGTGGACAGTATTGCCTCCCTCTGAAAGGATTTCGACTGACCTGGCGTGTGCCAAAGCGACCACCCAGTAGCCTTTACCTCCATCCCACATCGGGTAGGAGCCGTCTTCCTCCCTCGCAAATAAGCCCTTGCACTCAAAAGAGGAAGTACCCACTAGCCCCTTGATCAAGTGGTTAGTGGGTACCACCTCCTTTAAGTGCAAGGACTTATATGCGAGGGGAGAAAACGACTCCTACCCGATGTGGGATGGAGGTAAAGACTACTGGGTGGTCGCTTTGGCACACGTCAGGTCAGCTGAAATCCTTCGAGTGGAGGGATGAGATCCGTAGTAATTTCTACCCCATACAGATTACATGACGACTCCTATTTTCACTGAACCTTAGCATTTGTTAGTTACTTTCACAAACTGTAAATTAAAAAGTTTAATTCATTGTTTTTCTGTAACAGTAATGACTTGCTGGCCTCCTTTCATTTTGATCATTTTTTTTCTAACACCCTTTCTCTAGCTTCTTATCATCCCCTTTCCTCATTTCTATTTTATGTATGTGAAACTGTGTATCCACATTTTATTTCACCTGATTGTGCTTATTATTGTATGCTCCATATGCTAATCGTTTGAGCCATATGGCTTGTGTCGGTTAAGCAGTTAGCAATCATTTGTGCCATGATTTGTCTTCTTAGTGTTCACTGTGTTGGCCAATTATAGATAATAAACGAATGTACTAAGTGTTCATAGCTGCATAAACATGCCTAATAGCCAGAAAAGTAGTGATATTAAGAAAAAATTTAGTAAGAAAAAGTTCGCA